AGGTCCAGTTTCGATGTTAATGACCCGTTGTTAGCCGTCTGTTGTCTCCCCGTTTGCTCGTATGTTTTGCATATATCTTGTTTTGATCCCCCTCCCCCCATGGTAACCCCTACATAATAATTTTTGACGTGGTTTATGTACAGAAACAATCACGTGGATATGATTTTTAACTAGTTTGGGCCATGGCTGTAGTCAATGTGCCTCATATTTCGTGTCGTCGGTACATTGATATCATATCATAACCAACATACCATAATCACGTAAATCTAGGAAGCCCATAGGTCAATTCAGTCGTTACAATTATAGTGTGTTAATGTCGGCTATTAGTTATGGAAATTAAGACTGTTATTGTGGTCTTGCTGGATACATTTAACAGTAGGATTACTTTGAAACTAATATTCTGTAATTGTCTCCAGTGCTCCCTACACTTCACTGAGTATACCCTTACATCACCATCTGTCGTGTTTTATTCTACTTGCCTTCGAGGTCGGGTTGCAGTCTGTGAGCACACGTTGAGTACACGACCATCGAGTTATTGCACCCACATTGAGTGTCTGTGCTAACACATACGCCTTCTGGGTAACACCATCCCTCACATACAATAGCTGAATAAATAAGACAAATCACCTAGTTAGAAGCAACGTCGAGCTAACGATGATAATAGAACCTCGCCATTTTAATCTAATCTATCACGAATATTTCAGAATGAACATAATAGAACTCACACTAAGTCATAATTCCATATCGATACAGAGTGTCGGGATAGAGTACGTTAACAAAAAAATTGCGGGATTTGGTTCATTATAAACTGACTAGGGAATTCAATTTTCTTCTTTTGGTTAATCGAGACAGGCGATATTGTGCGTGAATTATCAGAGTACACACATTGTCGATATTGTAGCAGACTTTATAAGTGACATCGGGAAAACTATCGTGAACAACTAACGACTGTGTGTACTATATGTTGAGTTTGAAATTAGAATGATTATTGTCATCGTGGTGTCGAACAATGCGAAATAGTTACAGAACTCCTTCGTATGCACACCAAATCAACAATAAATAGGTAATATTATATAATAATCATGAGAGGACAATCTAATATAATCAAATTAGCTGTATTATTACTATATCCGCACATTCAGTAGATTTATGTAGATAGTATACACTTTAGAGTTAAAGTTTTCGATTATTGTTTGCGCATCGAAACATTAGCAACAAGGTATGCCTACGGCCAACTTACTCCAAAAGCAATACAGTCTTTTGAAAGAATGTGATTAGACATTATAATAATGCATATATTAATCATCGTGAAAGGCACTTGCGCAAAAAACAAGATTATTATATGCTGGCGTGTGTACACATAAATGTAGTTTTTGCTTGTACGTCGCACGGATCGCAGCTGTATTCAGGATGATATGATCCGTAACGTGGATGGTTTCAAATATAGAAACAGATTGAACAACATCATACGTGATACTGCATCATTATAAATTAACTAAATATAAAATAGATTAATTTCACGTGATAAATTTAATTGATTTTGAAAAAAAAACAATTGTCACAAATGAAAATGATCAAATATTGCAGTATTATTTTATTCACGTTCAATTATACCTTGTATAATCATTATCATCGGAGAGATTAAATCTCGGTGTTGTTATGAATAAATTTAACCAGTGTGTGGTTTTTCGCGTCACGATAACACCACACAACATGATCAGCAATATTAATAAATTTTGATTGATGTTCAGAAATCGAAGAATTTCCCGGCTTTTGTATTTTTCCCGGATCAATAAAATGCAAATACATATTCTTACCTGCATGGGCGGTGACAGTTAACTGCGTCACCATGGCAATCAGCCAGTACCACTGAGTGCCGGCTAAATACATGACTGTCACTTTAGTAAAAATGCTGGCGCCGTTGGTTATCAGAGATTCCATTGACTGTGGCCGCAATACTATAACTATAAGCATACAGACACGATGAGTATTAAAATTAGAATCTAGGCCAAAATATAACATATTTTAATGGGCCATGAAGACATTGACAAAATGAGGATCTATGATCCGTGTATGATATGATATTAGAAGCAAATGTCTGCCGTACATAAACGCAATCGTCACAGAGTAAACCAAATAAGCCACGATGCAATTTAAAGTATAATACAGTAATATTCAATGTAGCAATGTTAGCGATGTAGTTTGATGTATTTTGGATTGTGTACGTGAAAATATACGAAATGAATGATGGTTGAAATGCTAGTGCTTACGTACCTCCGTGACCATTTTGAATTGTGAATCAAGAACTCTGGCTGCGTATAATTTAATAAAGACACGTAAATTCGGTCAACAGCACTTACAATTTCATCTCCGTGTTTTGGGTGAAGAAAGCAACATCAAGTGGAGCGATTATATTAACGCTGCTGCTTATGCACTCCCTTGCCCGCATATCCTGATTGTTATCCTTTTCGCTTTTAACGTCATTCACGGAAGTCACGTGCATGTCACGTGGTGTAACGAAATTGGAAATCCGTAATGATTACAATATTCCCGTAGCAACGGTGAGATAATTCGTTAGACTTCAATACTGAAATTCTCCTTTTCGCTCGGTTTCAATGATTTATTTATTAGTCAATCATTTCAGTAAAAAGTCAGTTTCGTTCTACTGTTTTAAATGTCACCTACAAAACAGCCAATATTCGATAATGAACGTCTCTTTCATTTCAAAATATATACCGCTATGTTTTGTACGGTTCGAGCTCC